AACATTCTCATGTGAACAAATGAACAGGACGAATCTACGTACGGTCAGTCTGCGGAAATTTCTTCACGTCGTGTGAACACAGTCTTGTTTTCATGTTTGGCAAGCGCAAATGGAGGTTTATATCCCCATGTTTCGTGAAAGAATATGTTTCTCTTGACTCAATCACAAGCGCATCCTTAAACCTATTGTGCATGAAACACTCAGAGGAAATAACTGCAGGACAGTCTATTGCTGTTCGTTGCTACAGTCTATTGTTGTTCGTTACATGTCTTAATTACTATATGGAAATAGTTTGACATTGATTTTGGTGCCACAATGAAATTAACTGCATGAATAATGTGTCAAAATCACACTTTAAACTTTCAGATTGTAAAGCATTGCATCTGAAATGCCTTAGTTCATTATGCCTGTAGCTCACTCACACTCAATGAGTGGAATTTTAATCTGAGCTTCTCTCGAGTGTCATTGCTGTTTTTGAATAGCTGGAGGGCTAGTATCGTACCTTACTAAGTGACTACTCGCCCTCCAGCTATTCAAAAACAGCATTGACGCTCCAGAGAAGCTCAGATTGAACCTCTACTCATTGAGTGTGAGTTTGAGTGAGCTTTTAGAATACAGGCGTAACAATTTCAAAACTGAGAAGCGAGTAAGATTTTGCATTGTGTGCTTGTACGTAGACTTCTGCGTTTGTTTGCTAAATTTATCTGTGCTCGGCCTTTGTAAATACGTAGTAGACACAGATAAAAATGGTAGTGGTACCAAAATTGAGCATATGTAGTACAAATGGGCTTTATGCATAGGCCCCATTCATAAGAGATGACTAGGTGGATGGAGGTTTACTTAAATTGCACAGTTTAACGAATGAATTGTGGCATAGCGAACTGCAGGACAAATAGAACTGGACAATTTCGCGTACAATCCCAAATTTGTCCAGTGTACACTTAAAATAATAATTACCAATATTGTACCCGGATTCAAGCCCTTCAGTGTGCCAATATTATTTAGGATGTAAATCTCCACTTGGTATGGCAGATGGCAGAATTAAAGACTCGCAGATCACAGTTACTAGTGTTCTTATAACAGCATATGGTAGACTGGCTCGTCTACGCCAAAATATTCCAAATTGGGGAGCATGGTGTCCAGTTGTCAGTGGAGGGTCAAGATCTTATAGGAATTACGACCAGCATATTCTGATTGATTTGTTAAATCTGACAAAAATCACAGGAATTGCGACACAAGGACGACAATATAATGGAGGAAGAGAAAAGGTTAAGGACTATAAACTATCATACAGAAAAGATGGTGGAGCATGGCATTTTTACCCAGGAAAAGATCAAACTGCGAAGGTAAATTTGATAAAGTTGATTTTTGGAATGACATTTTGCATGAAATTTATACATACACATCTTTGTGACCTTATTGCGGAATCCTCTGAACCTAAAAATTCTGGTGCAGCTAACATGCAGGTTTGTCTACATGTTGCTCATTTTAGTCTCATGTGAATAAACACAACAAAGAACATGGATCATCTATTCTGGACAAACTTTGCAAAAAAAGATAGTTCATCTGATAATAGTTTGTTTAGATAGCTTATTTAGTAGTTTACACTAAGACAGATGATGCATCTTGATGGCTTATCCAAATGTTAAAGTATCTACTCTTTTTCAGATATTTCTTGGAAACACTGATGTATCCACTGTTGTACAACATGATCTAGACCCTACAATTATGGCAAGGTATATATCAGGGTTCATCCAGGTTATGATACGGGTGCCAATACATGTATGAGGCTTGAGCTGTATGGTTGTGTGGTTGAACAAGGTTTGTGGTAATTTTGTTTTCTTTTATTTACCATGTTATATTGTGTATATAAAGTATATACTGTTATGGTATATAATATATTGTACTCTTTTACTATTCTAGTTATTCTTTCCTACTCAATGCCAGTTGGGCAAACAACCAAGAATGGCAAAGTACACTACAATGACACATCTTATAATGGAGTAATTACCAATGGTTTTTACAGCAATGGCACTGGAATACTCACAGATATCAAGTTTGGTCCTGCTAACTCGAAAGAATTTCGAGGCACAGGATGGGTGGGATGGTCTTCCTTTTTTACTCAAGCACAATATATCGACATTATATTTGAATTTTCTGGTATGAGAAAGTTCACAAATGTTACACTAACTGTGAATGTTGCCAAGAAACGTTATAGTGCTGTATTTAATCAATCATGGATATTCTTTTCTTCAACCGAAGACAGTTTCTCAAACACATCATTTCTTCAATACTGTCCAAGAGATTTTCCAGCACAAGATAATTTTTACAATGCAAATGTAAGTTTGTCACTTTGTGAAAATACAGCAAGGTTTTTGAAGTTGCGGTTATATTTTGGTGGAGAGTGGTTGCTAATCACTGAGATCAGTTTTAATTCAGGTATTTTGGCTCGCTAATTGTGTCTTGGTCTTGAGGCTGACAATGTGATTCTATAACTTTCTATATTTATTTATAAGTTATAGATAAGTCATTGTCAGACTCCAGCTTCTATACTCTAAATCCAACTGATAAAAGTAATATTTTCTGTAGTTTTGAAATAAACGGATTCGCACATGTACCAATTCTAGTATAAAACTTTATAATAAATTTGAAAACCTAATTTTTGCTTGTTATTCTTTGACATTGTTAGTTCCTGCCAGTAAAGATGAGAAGATATCACTGAGTTGTTCAGGCAAAACGTCTCGTTCTTCTCAGGCTGTAACTCTACCTATACAACACGTTTACAAATTTATACCACAGCAAGTCCTGACAATCCAACAACGACCATCCCTCAAATAAATCCCAAACCAAAACCTGGATATGATAGCGGTAAGTAGTTTGAGATGTTGGGTTGATTTTTAACGACTCTCAGGGTTTTAAATTAGCGGGTCTCATGAGCTAAACAAATGTAACCAGATTTTTTACCTGGCGACCAGATATTTGCCAAAGGTAGCCCTCGTGAAGACTGAGAAAAAACTTATAATAATAAAGCAATTCTTTTAAAGTCTTAAAATATCTTAGTGATCAAGTATTTCATTCTGCTTTTGCAAATACTGTAATTTGGCGACATTTTAAACAACCGTTTTTTTGTCTTATCTATATATACAAAGATAGATTTATGTGAGCGGTCTGTGACATATCAAATTATATCAAATTATACACCAATGCAATCTTAATATCTAGCCTTGAAGATGGTGAGTGGGATAATGATCACATGTATATAAGTTTGAATGTCATTTCTGATTTCAGTTATTATTACTAGGCCTATAATAGCCTACATTTAAACTGTCATCCTCAGTTTTTAATCTGTACTTCAGGAAACTCCATATTATCCTAAACAGTTGAAGATACAGAGATGAGCATTATGGCTATAAGATTAGGGTATATGTTATCGTCCTTTTTTTACCGTAAATTTTAATCAATAGGGACAAAAGGAAAAACAGCATTGCTCTGGGGTTTATACTGGATAGCTCAATTCCTAAGTCCAGTAAAGATCATCCGTATCGTTATATGTTTAAGGGGACTCTCTACCCTAATTTTTGACCATACGGGTCAAAATTGAAAATTGCATTTCTATTGTAGAGAAAATATTCCCTGTTCATAAACTTTTTACAGAATGCTAAAATTCCGCTTAGTTCCCGAGATATTTGACTTTTTGTGAATAACAATGTATAAAATGATATTTTCTTAATCCGTATCCATGGTAACGGGTAAAATTTTGCTTAAAAATCGGCCTTTAAAACTGGTAAATACCATAAATATGCATAAGTTTTAACTTGACCGTGTTCAAAATATGTTTCTAAATGTCCTGGGAACAAGTGCTTGTCAGGGGGGGTTGGGAAATGGTATAAAATTTGTCACACGTCGCCATATTGTTTTGGAAGTTTTTCTCATGCAGTATTGTTGACTTTTTGAAAGTATTTCACCCGAATTTACGTTAACAACACAGCCTATTTTTCCAAGTTTATATAAATAATGCCTAGACGAAAGGTTAAAGACAAATTTTGTGGCATTCCTTCATGGTAAAAGGCAAAATTAGTGGATGAATATCGCGTTGAGCCAACATTAACCAGTCGGCCATTTCTGGACATGAAGTTTCAGAACTACATGTTACTAACACTTGCGAGACAGAAGAAAACCGGCCACTTACAGCAAGCGAGAAGAAAATTGTATCATCTGTAGACGTATGAGAGGGTACAAATGCCACTATGGAGTATGGACGGTGACGAAGAAATTGATACACTGGGGGGACCCATCAAAGCCATATTTTAGTGAAGACTCTGGCTATCTTTTCTTCAATTTGTCAAATGTTCACCAAGCATTTCAAGAAGGACATAAATGTATAATGGTACTTGGTCAAAGAGGGGACATACAGCTTCCTATGGATTTATTATACCTGTAGAGACAGGCCAAGTTCTTGATTATGGTTTTCGGTCAAAGATTTGTACTTTGTGTAACAAACAGAAGGCAGATAATGATTCGGATGAATACAAGGTATGGTATGATAAGCTATTCCCCAAACCAGAATGAAAGCCTGAATGGAATAGTCTGGTCTAAAGCACTAAAGCACAAGTATAAGAGCCCAAAGGCAATCAAAATGGCTGCTTTGTCTGCTGTACTCCAATTTGACAGCGGTTCGAAGGCGCGGCACGAGGTGATGAAGGTGGCAAATATCCCGTCTGGCAGGTTTACTGAAGAAGCAGGAGCCAGTATGGACAAGAAGAGAATA